ATTCTCGTTCATGGATATAGCAGAATTCGTTTTAAATGAGATTGAAAACAAAGAAAATGAGACTGAATTAAATAAAAACTCTCGTTATGATGTAGATAACTTTTTAAACATTATTAGGTGCAATAGTCATTTAACAAACTTAATTAAAATTCTTCAAAAAGAAATTGTTAATTTTTTAGTATATTTAGGGCCGATCTTTTCACCTCTGAGTAAAGTTACATGTAGGTTTACTTGACAGATCAACAAAAAATAGCCCTATAGTTTAATCAGCAAATAATTACTTTCAACTTTACTCAGAGGTGAAAAGATCGGCCCTTAGAGACTTTTGATTTAAAAGATTTAGGTATAATAGTATTAGGAGAAACACGTGCTATTCTTGAACTCGAAAATTTAGTAATACCTGGTATTATTAATATTTTCAACGAAAGCGTGAATAGTCAATGTGATGGTGTAGTAATATATATTAAAGATAACATTCAGTTTGAAGCAGAACACATCAAGTTGCCTCTCTCAAATGTAACAATAAGTTCGATAACATTTAGCACTATTGATATACTCTACAGTTATGTCTTGCTACAGATTTCCAACCACATCAGATGACATATTAGTGACTGAGAATTTTTTGAACAATGTACCTAAAAGGCCAGGTATAGATATATTTATTGGCGACATTAATAAACATTTTAGACTTATCAAACCAAATAACAAATAACTCATCAAACCAAATAACAAATAGATATTTGGCAATGTTATCTTTCTTTGAATTTGTATCATATATTAATTCATATACTGGAGTCACGGCAGAAACCAGCTCATGTATTGATCACATATTCGTAAAAAAGAGTATGCGGAGTAAAAATTATTTATTCCAATCACTAGTAATCGATAGAGATCTGGATGATCATTTTCCAATTTTCATGAGCATTACAACAAATGAGACAAACGCTAGGTCTAATACATCAAACCAACATATAATTCAATACACTGATACAGATAAATTTATAAAATCGATAAAAAATGTAAATTGGGATTACATCATTTCTTTAAACGACCCGATTTTGGCTTATCAAAAATTTATTGAAATAATATCGTCTTTAAAAGAAGAATGTAACATTACTAAAAGGTATAGTACTTAAAACAGGGATAAAATGGAAAAACAAATCTTAAAAACTAAAAATAACAATCTTCTCATTGAGTATCGTAAATATCGTAACCAACTAAACAAAATAATAAATACATCTAAAAATGATTATTATATAGTCCAAATTCAAAACTGCAATAATGACTTCAAAAAAATTTACCACATAGTCAAAGAAGTTTCAAATGAACACTTAATCAATAAAACAAATAATAAACAGGAAAATAATTCCAACTCAAATGTCACATAGACGAAAAATAACAGTGCTCCAAGAAACGATGGAATAACTATTGAAACATTGCCACAGTTCATTGTAAAGCCTCTCACGCACATTATAAATCTAATCTTTGCAACAGGTAACATACCAAAATAATTTAAAACTTCAATTGTAACTCCAATTTTTAAAAAAGGATCTAAAAAGGATATATTAAATTACAGACCAATAAGCTTAATTACTTTGCAAAACTATTTGAAAAATGTCTAAAAAATAGATTATATGACTATTTAATTTATAAAAAGATCTTAAATGTTAAACAGTATCGCTTCCAAAAAGGTATTAGCACTTGTGATGCTATGTATGAATTAATATCCAACATTAAAAACAATCTTGATAATGAAAATAAAATTATTTGCTCCCTGCGAAGTCATGGAAAGGGAAGCAAAAGCGATACTAGCGCTAGCTGCGGATAATTCGTGCATTTTAGGGCGATATTTTATAATTTTGGCATATCAAATACACGTATACATTTTACTTTTTTCCAAAAAAGTAGGTAAAAACAATACAAAAAGCAACCGGAGTTGCTGTGTCGAAAATTGTACAAATACTAGCAAAAAAACAGTGAAACTTATATAAAAAATTTCAGTACCAAAGTGGAAATTAAATCAAAGAAATAAATGGATAGGTGTACAATAAGAAGAAAAATTACCTTTATATTTGTAATAATAACAGTAATGCTGGAAATAGTAGACAATCAGAAACTTGAAAGGTGTTGAATAAACAATAAATTATCATTTTACGATGTTCTTTAATATCACTTTATTTTTAAATGTTCATTCAGCAAGGACTAGATTTCAAGATTTCTGCCTTTGAATATTACATGTGGCTGGAATGCAATTTTGTGACTTACTGATGGGAAACCAGTTTTTTAATCATTCATTTTATGTTTTCTTTCGAACAAAAATGAAAATATAAATTACAATCCTTTTTTTATACATTTTAACTTCACGCTATTATTAAATGGTATTTTTCTATTTTGACAGAATAGGCTAATTCTTCAATGACAACTTATTAGACTTAGGCAACTTCTCATACATTTTCCAATAAATACTGTTGCCTGCCTATATTTTATTATTAATTTTTATTGGTTATACATAATTTTTTTTAATTTAAGCGATAAAAATCTATAATAATAAAAAATTAATGTTTTACTTGTTTTACAAATCCATATACTTTTATTAAAACTAACATATACTTTTTAATTACGAATTCTATTAAAAATTGTATTTGTCAACATACGCAGAAATAGTCCATTAGTACCAACAACGAATTGGCGCTGCTGTCACGCACGGAGCGATTAAGTGTTTTTATCGACTTTATCGAACATGTTTTAAAGGTTTTTGAAAACTACCTTTACGAGAGGACAGATGATCAAAATAAGAAATGAGCTTAGTAATCCGATTAACATTCATATAGGTGTACCACAAGGAACAGTCCTTGGTTCTATTCTTTTTATCATTTATATAAGCTCTTTTAAATTTAGATATAAGTGGTGTCTCAATATCGTATGCAGATGATACCGTGTTAATATTTGAAGGTAAAACCTGGAAGGCTGTAAAATTAAAAGTTAAAAATGGGACAAAAATTATAAAAGCCCGGCTGGATTATAATAAGTTGTCTTTGAATGTGTCGAAAACAGTATACATAGCGTTCTCCCTAACTGATGCAAATAGGCCAAATTTTAAATGCATTTGCATTGAGGAATCCAAATTCATTATCAGGGAAGTAGAAAATACAAATTATTTGGGTATAACAGAAAATAAAAATTTAAAATGGACTTGTCACGTACAATACTTAACAAAAAAAATTAGAAGATGTACACATAAATTCTATTTATTTCGGAATATTCTAAACAAAAAGTTATTACACTTAATATATACCGCTCTGATTGAATCCTTAATTAGATATGGCATAATTGTATGGGGTGGGTTATATGACAATGCACTACATCCTCTAAATTTAATTCAGAGCTATTATCTTAATTCAACTAATTTCCCACTAATTCCTCTTTTTTTTATTTAAAATTTATTGCCAATTGGCCAGACTAACACTAATTCCTCTAATTACTAAAAATTGTACACCAAAATTCCCCCGCGAAATACCCCTTGCTCCAATATCTAATAAGTAACTTAAAAATGCCAAAAACTTTTTGGATGTACGAATTACCTTAACAGTACAAATCAAATTATCCACCAAATGGGCTCTTGAAATTTTTAAATTCAATTCAGTTTTAAAAATAAGAATGTGTTGTGTCCTGGCTATGAAGACTAGAGATAAGGAGGCGAATCGGCATACTCAAAATACGGTCCCAAAAAACGCACGCTAATTGAGCTTTTATAATTAACCGCATGGGCGCTAGTACTGCATACGGTGTTCAAAATACATGGCTTCTTATGGAAATTATACATAATTTTGTCAAAATAATAATAATAAACTTGTTTATAGCTAAATAAAGCACATAACATAGTGTTGTATCTATTTTTAAATAAGTCTTGCATGTTTTAATTGATAAATTATTTAATTTTATTTATATAAAATACAAATTAGGTAGGTATGACTAAATTCGAAAAGGTTTGTTAAATGCTGAAATGTGATAAGTACAATTTTATGGCAAAGTTTTTTTTGAATTGAACCTATATATAGTTTTAACAGCAAAATAAAACACAGTTAACAGATTTTTTATTGATGTAATACAAATATAAAGGGAGATTTGGGAATGTACATGGTATTACCTCATCCTTTAATTTTAGCTTTCCCCTTTTTATTTTGTTAACAGTACCATCAGTAAAAATAGTCTCATAATATTTGATATCTTCTATAAAGTATAGAATAGCATCATCTCTAGAAAATGCTTTATCGCCACTGTTCTAAGCGTTTAGTATCCTATAAAAAACATTTACAATTGTGGTTCAACAAAATAAATAACAGTAGCAACTCTTTACCTAACATTAAAACTCTATAAAAAATAAATTTTCTTTTCTAGTAAGTTAAATTTAATGTATAATTATTGTTGTTTGTGTCAGGATCTATGACTGTAAAATTTTATGTTATAGAAATTTGTAATAAAATAAACTACATTCCGTAAGGTACATATTGTCACTAGTTTACAATAAAAATTATATTTAGACATAAATACATTATTTTACTTTCATTAGAAGCTTTAAAAAGACATTGAAGTGATTTCTCTTTGTGTTTTTTTAGTTTTACATTTGATTTGTATCCTGTTTTACAATCTGGAAGGATGTAGATCTTGCTTTGATGTTTTTTGTCACTCATGTTACTTGTGCTCAGGTACTTTTTTTTCACATTATTTTGATTTTCACCAATTTTTTAAAAAATCACTTCATTTTACATTGACTTGCATAGAAAATTGACACCGCTGTTATTCGACATGCCAACTACAATCAATTTCGCGAACTTTATAAAAAGAAGGACGAAAATTTGAAATTTGACCATTGCCGATTCGCCTCCTTCTCTCTAGTCTTCATAGGCCTGACAAAACCCATAATTTGTGACTAAGAAGGTTTGAGAACTAAGTAATCGATATGCAATTTGGATGGAGGTATTTTAACTTTTTTCACATAGGATCAGGAATTCAACCTACTAGCTGGGCTATAGTTTCTGATGATAAGACTGAAGTTTTAATAGCAAGAAGTGTAGAACTCTATAGACTGAAACAAGATGAACACCACACAAGTGCAATGGTTTGTATCTTTTTGTCAAATACTCTTACTGTAAATTATACATTTGAGTAATAAGTTTTTGTAGAACCAGTATTTATTTTTCAATATAGATAAGAAGGTAAATGTAATTTTGATATCAATGCATATTAAATATATAAACTTTTAGAGTAAATGTTATTCTTCATAAAAGTTTATGCATGAAAATAATAATTATTCAAAAAGAAGTTGAATATTTTTTTAAATTTTTTTTACATGTTTGTCGTTATTTCCCTAAAGCAAGGGATATTCACCTTCTGTTTGGACTTTTATTAATTTTGAAACAAGCAAAAACTTTTAGAAATAATAACGCTTTTTCCTCCTCTTTTTTAGTCCATCCGGGGACACCCTTTATATTATTGTCATAGCGGGGACACATAAGAGATAGTGCACTAAAATAGTTAATTAAGAAAACTACAATGGGATGCTTAATATCTATCCATTATTATACTTAAGTCAGCACCTTATGGGAAACTTTATAATATTAGTTTCATGCAAAAAAGTTATTCTTCATAAAAAGTTCTCCATGGTCTAAACCCTAAATTAAAGATATATCAAATTTTTTCAGTCATGTACAAAGTTCATAAAAATATATGAATTTTATGCAAGAGTACCTTTATTTTTAACAATATCGAAAATTGATATTATGAAAAGTTGATCAGAATTAAAAACTAGGGTCAGATATTCAATATTATATATTCTATGAAAAAACGTTCTTTAATACTTTTTGCCATAAATACAATAATTATAATTGGTCTGAAATTGTACTGTTTTGGTTGTTATAAAAGCTACCTACTCTTCTCCCTTACTATCTATGTACTCCTTTGCGAGAATCAGGTCTTTACAATCCACTTTCTGTCCGTAGTCGTTTGACAGATTGATCTCCCTCAGGCGCGTCCTAGCTTGATCCCTATTCTCATTTAATTTGTTCCTTTCCCCTTCATATACTTCCATCCTATTCCTACCCTCAACGTCGACATGTTTTAATTTTCGAATTTTCTTCTTTATTACATACATATTTATAAGGTAGGCATTCATCCTTTACTTTTTTTAAGTGTCTATTGAAGAGCATTTTTGTTTGTAGGCCTAATGGCGAATTAGCCGAAACCGGTTGCCATTTCTCTTTTATATTAAAAGTTTATATGTGGTATACGATTTTGTGTATTATTTTGTTACTACATTGACTACATTTGAGAAGATGAATAACATTTTATTTTTAATAATTATACATTTAATTTTTCAAATCATAAAACTAGTTTTTCATGTTAGATGGGATAATATTGAATATCTAACTATTGTTTTCAATTCTAAACAATTTTCAATGTTGTTAAATATAAAATTCATATTTTGTTCGACAAACGTATATACATGGCTGAAAATTTTTTTAGAATGTTAAGTTTTAAGAATGAAGAATAACTTTTTTTCATAAAACTATACTAATAATAAAAGTTTCCCATATGGTGCCAACTTTTTTTGTAAATTGGTTCGGTTCGTGCTTTAGATAAGTAAAAACTGGTCACAGTTCTACTGTTTAGTCTATGATTTTCACTGGACATTTTTTTAGCTTGAACCGGATATCACCAACAAATACACATCAATCATAAAAATGTCTGTTTCATTAAATGCACACCATCTGGCGTTGTTTACGGATTCTGGATTTTTGTGGTTGGGTTCCACAAATTTGAGGACAAAATACTGCGAAATCGATTGTGACATGGTTTTTAGACCAAAACATTTACTTTGGTAAAATAATTTAAAGATTTTACTGTGTTTACCAAACTAATGAGTTTTCACAATTTTTAGGTGTGGTAATGAGGCTGTTGTTCTGTATTGGGAAAAAGACAACACTTTTTTAATAGTTGGTAAACACGGTCAAAAATTAAGTTACTTTTATGATGGATCGGTTCATTTGGTACCAGAAATAGATGGTATTAGGATAATTTCGAATACGCAACATGAACTACTTCAAAAAGTACCAGAAGTTGTTCAAAAGATTTTTAGAATTAACAGCACAGACCCTGGTAGTTTTCTGTTAGAAGCCTCAAAACAATTTCAAGTGAGTTGACATGGTTTATCATGGAATTTTTATTACATACTCATATTCTAATTATTTTTTAGAAAGGTAGCCATAAAGCAAATGAATACATTTGTTTAGTTAAAAATGATCTGGAGACTGCAGTCAACCAGTGTATAGAAGCAGTAGGATATGAATTTGACACTGACGTTCAAAAATTGTTAATAAGAGTAAAATTTAACCATTACATTTGAATGAAGTTTATTATATGATTTTTTAATTCTAGGCAGCACAATTTGGTAAATGCTTCATTCCAGACATGAGATCTGATAGTTATGTAAATATGTGTAGACTTTTGAGAGTATTGAATGCTGTCAGAGACCCCAAAGTGGGGATACCCATTACTATTACACAGTATCCTTTTTAGATCATATATATTATATATCTCTTGAGATCTGCATTTTGAATAAAATATTTTTACAGAATCTTTCCACTTTATATTTCTACTGTTTTAATATAGATACTTAAATAAATTTGCTCACTTAACAAAAATCTAAATGACAACTAATACTGTAGAAATATGTCACTTTAGTCAACTTTCATGTACAAATGTGCAAAACAACAACAACATAACAAACACAACAACAATAACAACATAATAATAACAACAACATATAATAACATAACAACAATATAACAATATGACAACAATATAACAACAATAACAGCAAATACACTTTCTTAACAGAAGTTTAGGTTAAATTACATGAAAAGAAGGAAGCAAGACATACTGAAGCGGCTTATAACAAGGAATTATTATTATTTGGCTTTACAAATTGCCAAATACTTGAAATTACCAGAGGAAGACGGAACAAGCTATATTTTGGTCCACTGGGCAAAATATAAGGTAAGAGGGAAGAAATCAAACGAAATTTGTTATGTATTTTGAAATAATTTTTTTCTCTAGGTCAGCCAGTCACATTTAGAGGAAGAAACGGTAGCTAGGGAAATTGCTGAAAAGTTGGGGTACTCTTCAGGCATTTCTTACAGTGAAATTGCCAGTACTGCTTCAGAATATGGGAGAAAAAAATTGGCTATAAAGGTAAAATGCAACTGAACTAGGATAAATAACTAAATAAATTCGTTCTTATATTTCCATTAATTTATTATCTTTTCATTAAGCTTCTAGATTACGAGTCTAAAGCAAGCGACCAAGTAAAACTGCTTTTAGAATTAGGAGAAAACGTACCAGCGTTAGTTAAGGCGATTGAAAGTGGAGATACAGATTTAGTGTATATGGTTATATTGAAATTAAGAGAAAATATGCCGTTGGGAGACTTTAAGGTACTTACAGTTGATCCAGCGGTTCTTTATAAGTGCGTCATACCTAATTTCCACATAACAATGTCCATCTTGAACGTTTAAATAATATATCTCCTTACTTAAATAATTGCTTTTCTATTTTCAAATACTTAAGGTCGGCGTCTGGCTATATCTTGAGAATTGTTTTATCTGGACAATTTTAGGATTTTTTTTTTACGAAATCGTTCGAAGGAAAATGTATAAATATTTTTAATTACGTAACTTTTACTCTTATACTATGACTACTATGTGAAGAGTATCTTCACACAGTAGTCTGTGAAAAGTATTTAGGTTTACTTTTTAGAAACCAAAATTTTTAATATTGGTCCAAATTTAAAAAATGTACCAAAATCCTTTTCATTAAATTTTAAACAACTTTTAAAAATGCCCGTCCGATGTCGGGCGATAAGTCCGATAATGTCCGCACGATAAGTCAAAAACGAAAGATACAAACTTGAAATTTTCAGGAAAAATCAAGATCTATATCTATAAGGTGACGAAGTTTATTGATTTTGAAAAAAAAAAAAATGATCAAACTGCTTCGCGTCGGGCAGTAAACTTCATCCTGCGGGAGGAAAAGTGGCACTTTCCTCCCTAGTAATACAAATAGCTATTTTTGACCAAACCGCTTGTTGAACTAAATTTTGCGGCACTCGTATGCCAAAACTATTGATTTTACAAAAAAAAATAAAATGGCTACAACAGAAATTGTAGGAAATTCGTAGATAAATCAATGATTCCAAGTGGCCTAAATACCAAAACTCAAAGTCATTTTTAAAAACTTGGTTTCTTAAGAACTTTTTACATGAACGGTTTTTAATATTAAAATTAATGCCAGGAAGTATATTTATTTTGAAAGTTACATTTAAAATAACCTCTAAATATACAGTAGATTTGTATTCGCAAACCCTAAAACAATAATTATATTTTTTTCTAATTTGGACATATAAAGTGACATTTTTTATAATCGCAGCAAGTGTCAAAATTATCTACTTTACGCAACCACTTTCATAATGTTGAACATTATGAAACTGGGTTCGAAAAATTTATTATGTCATCAGTTGCAAAAAGAAAATAAATAAAAATAATGATGTCTGGAATATTAAAGAGTCAGAATACGTGGTTAGATATAATTTATTACTGAGACTTTGGTCTAAAAGGGCAAATTTCAGGATTTTATAATTTAAGTAGAGTGTTAAAAAAAAATTATGAAAACTTATGAGTCGATTAATGGTAAGGTTCGTATATACAGGGTGTAACAAAAAAATGTACAGTAAATTTAACCACAGTTTCTGGGATCGAAAATAGTCGATTCAAGCTAACTTGCTTATATAAAAAATAAATCCATAGTAAAAAAGTTACAGGGTGTTAAAGTTGAAATTTTAGAAGTGATTTTGTGCTCGTACTCTAAACATATTTTTATGTAGGGCCGTTAGTGTAGAGTGACCAATAAAATGGAATTAGTAGGCGTTTAAAATTGTTTTAATTATATAGGTTTTTAGAAGGGTTTAAACCTCTTTGACCCCCCTCCCCCTACTTTTTTAGACAATGGAATTTACTTAAGAACAGGACGCCACTGAAATGCTACATTTGTTTTGAATTTTTCTGTCTTCTAGTATTTGTGAAAGCCTTTATTATTGAGTTATAGATCGCAGAAGAAAGATTATAGTGAAAAATACAATGAAATTTTTCTATTAATCTTAAACCACTAAATACTTGTTCACGATTTTTTTTACTATTTTACAACTTTATTTTCAATTATTCCCTTGTATTATCGATCATAATGAATTTAAAAATTAGTAAAAAAATCCTGAAGAAATATTGAGTGGTTTAAGTTAAGATTAATACAAAAATTTCATTGTATTTTTCACTATGACCTTTCTTCCTGTGCCTATGACTCAGTAACTGAAGCTTTGACAAGCAAATACTAAGAGACGAAAAAATTTCAAAATAGATGTGGAATTTCAGTGGCGTTACATTTTTACCTGAATTTCATTGCTTAAAAATAGTAGGGGGTGTTAAAGGGGTGTGGAATCCATTCAAAAACCTATAGAATTAAAACAATTTTAAATGCCACTAACTTCATTTTATTGGTCACTGTATACTAATATCCCATGTGTATTTTCATAAAAATATGTTTAGCCGTTTTAAAGTATGAGCCCAAAATCACTTGTAAAAGTTCACCTTTAACACCTTGTAAGTTTTTTATGTAAGCACGTTATCTTAAATAGACTTATTTTCGACACCAGAAATTGTGTTCAAATTGATAGCACATATTTTTGTTACACCCTGTATAGATTCAAACCGTTAACATTAATTGAGTCAATAGTTTTCATAAAAATAAAAAATACTTGTGGCACTCGGGGACTGCCGCGGTAAAGCTATTGCATAGCATTTTTTATCAACTTATGCAATTATAATTATTTATTTATGCAGTATTTTTTTTTCTTTGATATTAATTTAAGGTTTTTCTTTGATATTAATTCAAGTTACACTTTTTGAGCGTGGTGACCGATAAGAAAACAATTTTTTTCTTTTATTGAATAAATGAGAAGTTAATATTGTTTAAAATATTTTTATTATCTTACAATACATGTAGGTTATTCAGGAATTTTTATCATTGAAACTATAGGTTTATAGTAACTGAAATAAGAAACAAGTTTGAGATTTGATATCCTTTAAATATCTGGAAAATACCGCGTCAATGGTGGTCCCATATTTTGTTGTGGATTCTTGTAGATCATTATTCATTTTCAAATTAAATTTTTCCGAAATTGTGTCTAAAAGAGATAGAATCAGTTAGCAGCTAGTCTACACGCATACGTCTAGTCGCACGCACACAAACACCGTGCCGAAGTCTGCCGAACTGAAGACGATGCACGGCTTTCAACGCCGCACCGCTGTGCCGGTCGGAGTGGGGGGTTTTAGGTTTATTTTCGTTACGGAATTTCTGTTTCGATTTTTTCGATTTTTCGATTTTCTTTTATTGAATAAATGAGAAGTTAATATTGTTTAACGCGCACCGCTGTGCCGGTCGGAGTGGGGGGTGTTAGGTTTTTTTTCGTTACGGTCGTTACGGAATTTCTTGATTCGGTCGCCGCACTCAAAGCCCGCGATAAAAGCTATGCAATAGCTTAAAACTTAAAATGCTCTTTACTTAATTTATAGAATTCTTAGATTGGCACTTTTAGAACCACACAAAAAGTATCAGAAACTGAATAACAGAAAACAAAACTAGTTGACAACCTCCATTACAAAAATCAGTGACGTCTCAGAAAGTACTAACACTCATTATGGATTTTATTTGTTGCACTAGTGTCACACTCGACACTAGTGTGCGTTTAGAAACCTCGCACAGCGCGTCTGACCACATACATTAGAATAGGGTTCAGACGCGCCGTGTGAGGTTTCTAAACGCACTCTTGTACTCGAACTGTCAAACTTGTCAAAAGTATATGCTATACTCAAGTATGTGTCAAATATTTAAAGCTATACATTAAACAAATTAAATGCGATTAGTGCAGAACACTTACACCTAATGCAACAAAAAAATCCACTATAAGATTGCCTTATGTACGCTTTTTTTAGTGCGTTATCAGCTGTTACAACGGCATACTTTCCTGTATCCCTGCTTAAAAGACTTATAGTGTTTTATAATATCAGATTTTAATGACGCACGGATAAAGAACCCCTTACCCAACTATACCAAATTTCAATCAAAGTATAACAAATTTTACATGGTTTTGTAGATGACTATTAGAAATTTTCCTGTAGCTCAATCCCTGTTTATTAAATACTGCAAAGAGCATAATACCCAAGCTTTAAGTGAAATATACATTCAAGAAGATGATTTCTGCGCCCAAGCCGAGATGTTTATCCTTGACAGTTTAGACGATAAGGTAAACATTTACAATTTATGACAAAACGTTAATGGTTTGAAATATCATATTTCTTTCCAGAAAAATCACATGAAAGACGCCCTTCTCACCTCGGCATTGGAGGCTTACAAAAAAGGTCGCAAAGATTTATATGTCTCAATGTGCGACGAATCAATAAAATTAATTCGTTTCCAACGAGACGTAGAGGATAAAGTACCAAACGCAAAAAATAAATTTATCGGAAAATCCGTACAAGATACTTGCAAAACATTGCTAGAAATGAAAGAGACGAAATTGGCCGAGAAGTTTAAAAACGATTTCAAAATACCCGATAGAAGGTGCCCCTTTGAAGACCATTTCCTTCTATTACTTTACGATTTTTGTTTTTTAGATACTGGTGGTTGAAAATAAACAGTTTGGCCAAACACAACGATTGGATCGAGTTGGAAAAATTCTCGAAATTAAAGAAATCCCCTATAGGATATGCGCCGTTTGTGGACGTTTGTTTGCAGCACGATAAACGCCAGGAAGCTCTCAAATATTTACCTAAAGTTAGCGAGGACATAAAGGTTAAATATTGCATCAAAGCAGCGTAAGTGTAGAATTAGCAATCACTATTTTAACAATTTAACATCCGGTCTTAAGAACATTAATTAAAATTCATAAGCCTGATAGACTTAAAGTTTGATATTAAAGGAAGTCAACTAACACTTGCTCATTCCTGATTCTATCACTTTTCCTTGCATTGAAATTGTTGGGCTGGAGTCCCTTTATATGCCGCGTTTGAATATCCACATCTGATACATTTTTTACTTCTCGAGCGTTTGTTTATCCACATCGGACACATCTACATCTGCATTTGTTTATCCTAGATGTAGCCGTCCAGATTACATTTTTTACATCTCGATTTGAAATGAGATGGTCGTCCTATGCCAGAAAGTAGGTGTTCTGTGAAGCCAAGATTATTGATTTATCCTTTATTTATGCTAGCGTGAATATAAAAGTGATTAGTGTGTTTAATTTTTGTTTAGAATATAAATTTAGGTTGTTTTCCAGTCTTAAAAGTCAAATTTAAAGAATAATATAAACTTCTAACTTGTCATTGTCATTTTTTCACGTGCCAATAAAGTCTAAAACATTTGTTATCAGCTGTGTCTTTACGAGCACAAATTCGAACACCGTCAAGTGGCGCATCCGGCGGTAAAATGCATTTCGTTTATATGGGCGGTGACGAACTTTTTACAATTTTGTAATATATTTTTTTATATAGTTTAGTATTTTAAAAATGAAATATTTATTTTTCTTGTTTATACAAATTTATATTGTAGGTAGATAATATACGGGTATAAGAAAGAGATATTGCACAAAGTATATGTAGCTATAATAGTATATATAGGGTGTTAGAATTTTGACGAGAATAAAAATGCAGAGTCTATGGTAGATATGGTAGAATGTACTTCGCACACTACTAGTCCAATATTTATGGAAAATAAAATGGTACACAAATATATTTGTCACTTCTAGATGTGAAACTAAGAAGATTACGTTTTAACTACTACTTCTACTACTAACAGTACTTAGTATTTAGTGATTTATAGGCCCATAAACTTGTTTCATTTTTCACTTTAAAATGTTACATTATGTACTAAGGTTTTTAAAATGACAAAAAAATACAAAACGAAAATCAACATTTTATTGATATAGGCAGAAATTGCACATTTTTTATTTTTTATTTATTAGGTTGTTATAGGTAAAGGATGTTTTATGGATGAAATAAATGTGAATGGTATACACTGCGAATGGTGTGACCTAATGTAAAACAATATACCTACATCATTTTTAAAATTCTATATTTATTTACAAAAATACAAAGAAACGAAGCTAGAACTAAGGGAAGTCACATAGGTACTTTACTAACAAAAAAAAATCTATAAGAAAAAAAAAAACAAGATAAATAAAGCAACACTATCACAAATTAAATTGCATTAACGACATAGTATAAAAGTTTTCTAAAATAGGTAAACACTTAAAACTTAAAGTAGACGCTAAGAATATATTTTTTATTATCTTTTTCTTTTTGTTATTGATAACTTCTAAGATACGTCTCGCCTCAACAGATCCTACATCAGGTTCTATTCCAACCGTACAGAGTCGTGTAATTGTTATCAGAGCAACTTCCTTTATGTAAATATCAAGGGGAGTGAGACAAAGGATGACTTCCATGGCTCTGGTTTGTGTGGTTTTCATGACTCCTGTTATGTTGAGACATGTTGTTCTTTGAATATATTCGGTACAAGACAACTGCACCGTTTATTAGCATATGTCTTATGATGGAGAAATCCTAGGTATGCCCCACGGTTCGGTGACATTATTCATAAGCAATATATGATTTTACTCTGTTTTCTAGGTGTGAGTTACATATTAACTTGCTGTCAAAGGCGAGAGCTATAGGTACTTCATCTCTGTTGAAAAGTTTAGTTTTGAGTTTAGCAACACCAGATTTCCTACTTTATTGGATAAGTATCACAAACATACTCGGACTTTTAGATATTTTGATGTAATTAATTTGTATGATGTTATCAATATTAGAGATTCTGATATAACGTAATAACGAGTTTTTTGAATGAACATAATTTTTTGATAAAATGAATAAAACTAAAAGCCAATATCACACAAAATACCAACGACCGTTTCCTTCAGAAAACAACTACTCCTTTGGCTAATGCCGCAACAGGTATTGAATTATATCCGAAGGAAAGACAGCAGAGATAGAAATTAAATTTCAACACTCTCTACCTTAGATTTGCGTTTTTATAATTTTTTGAGATTACTAATTTAAGAAACAAATTTTTTCCAGTAAGGATGCCAAATTTCGTGGTATGTTACATAAGTTTCGAGAAAAATTCTTGTATACAAAACATTATTTTGGCACTCACAACAATATAAATAAATACTAAAAAATTCTATACTAGAAAATTTGTCGTATAAAGAGCACATTTTTTGCGTACAGACACTAAATGTTATAAATACCTCCAAATATTTTTGAGATAAAAATTTTAAGTCATTACATTGCTATGAATACTTTTTTTTTAGTTCTAAAATATTGTTATACTGAGTTTGTTTTGGTTCAACCAGAACCGTCGATTTCAGTTCTTAAATACAGTGGACGAATTAATTTTTTAAGAACACTTCGCGAAGTTATAACAACCTTTTAGCTGGTCCAGTGTAATTCAGGGCTTCTGAAAGAACCAAAACAAGCCTAATATTTCATTTGCTATTTCTTAAACGATAACAGATGGAACGTTGGTTAAATTAGACAAAAGTTGCGCAGTTTTGTACTCATTAAAATGGCCAAGAAACCTTTAATATCTACAGGGAGATTCAAAGTATCGGACAAAAAATGAAAATGGTAATTTCTTTAAATTTATTGTTTTTGTCAAAAAATATGATTTTGCTCAAGAGTAAAGTACCTTTATTTTTAACAAACCTCATATACGACTGATAAAATTTGATATCAGCTGGTTGCATTTTAGGTTTTAGACCAGCTGTACTCAACTTTTTTTTCTTTCGGGCCACATGAATCTGTTTATTATGCTACACGGGCCACATGAATCTGTTTATTATGTTACACGGGCCACAATATTTTTGGGTGATAACTAGAGTTGCTACCTTTTTGAAATGTAAATAAAGGATAATGGTTGACGATAGAGGTCCGCTTGAAATATTTTCTTAAAAAAAAAGTTTTAGTTTACAAACTTTCTAAAAGAAGTTCTCATGTTGTTTTAGTTGTTTAAAAAGTCGCACGGACAATTTGTTTTCAAAAAAGGACTGTAGGTCAACCATAAGTGTTTGGGGCCGCTTTTTGAGTATGGCTGTTTTAGACCATGCACAACTTTTTATAAAGAATAACTTTTTGATTATGAATATAATACTTTTATTTTTGACAAACCTCGTACATACCTGATAAAATTTGATATCAGATGGTTGCATTTTAGGTTTAAGACCATGCACAACTTTTTTTGAAGAATAACTCTTTTCCTAAATTTAATATTAAAAAAGTTTTCCATATGCCTCCAACTTACATGGTATATAATAATAGCATTTTATTCAACGAGCAGTTATGATGGTTACCGCAAGTTGAATACTATACTTTATCTACGATTAAAACAATAAATTATTAAGATAAGATGCAAGTATAAAGAAAGAACTTTATTCACAAATCTTAATAGTTATAACAATGTATAAAAGTTTTAGTTGTAATTACTCATTTTGTTTATTAATGAGATTAACTGTAAAGTTTGAACGATAAGTTAACTAAATATGTGGGACTGAAGTATGTACGTTTATTGTTTCTTTTTGTGTTTGTTGCATATATGTTGTAGATGTACTAATTGGTTGAGACGTTATTGAACTAAATATTTTATTTGCAGTATCTGTCTTCTTTTCGGAATCATCAATGTACTTTATGTAACCAGTTGCATAATAACTGGTTTCGAAAAATTCTCTATATCACCAGTTGCGAAAAGAAAACAAAATAAACCTTTTTTTGGTTTTAAAATCAATAATGTACAATATTATTGAAAGTTTATATCAAAGAAAGACAGGTTGACTTATAAAAATAGAATTTGGTTAAACTTACAACCTATTAATAATGTTGTTTTGGTCCTTACTTTCTAGTCTAAAATAGCACAAAATAATTAAAATAATAGACGACAAAATAACCCACTTTTTGAAAACTAAATAACTTTAATAAACAATATAAACACACTGCAAGGCGTTGAGAATAAATATTTAATAATGATGTTTTAATCGTTGTTCTAATTGTCAATAAAATGATGCATATGCAATTAACAATACAAAAAAGTAATATTGGTTGCCCAAATGTCAGTAATGTTTTATCAAAATACAATTTTATAAATAATCTAATCAAAATTAGAAAACAATTTGTATGTAACACATTACGAAATGCCGTTTCATGTAACTCGTTCATGTTGCGGAACCTCGCTCGTCCCGCAAATATCAACCCTTTACATAAAGTAAGGCATTTAGTAACTGGTTGCAGTAATATTCTTACAACCGTTTATAAGAACGTTAAATAAATTTTTCGAACTTGATAAATTTTGACAGATGTTAAGACTGTGAGTAATTTGATGTCATTCAGAGAGTTCACATTTTCAAGTCCTTTCAAAGTTTTTCAGGTTCATAAATGTCATTAGAATCGGCTGTTAATTCTGGAACTTATTCGGCAATTCGAGTTGTGAATTTAAATTTTAGACGCTTGGCAAATACAACAAAAGAGATGGTTTTATGACAAAAATGCTTCTATAGTGAGATTATAAGTCTAAAAGTGAGCATTATTGTTTTGGAGTTTTTAGTGTTTCCTCGGTGTGTTGTTGAAAAATGGCAAAAAATTATATTTACTAGGAATATATGAATATTAAATGTATGATTTACAATGACAAACACTAATGAAAAAGTCAGGTTAATAAATTTAGATGTATTTGCCAATCGCTGGCCATTTTTGCCCATTTTCAATGGTTGTTTATTATGAATAGAGTTTTGTGCTATGTTTTAAAAGCAAATGTTAGTACC